AAAATCTAAACTAATGTTGATCAATCAATACATTGAAAGATGTAAATCAAAAATAAAAGAACGAAAGAATATTTTTCTATAGGACGTGAACGAGATTGTTAGAAAACGGAAAAAATCAGTGATATGAAACTATTCGTACAACGTCGTACCTCCTGTATCGGACGTTTGCCATCTTACAACCAATACAAAGTTACAATTCGTTTACCCAGCTTCGAAATACAATTTCATGTAAGCTATAAAATTGAAAATAGTTTCAAGCACGTAAAATATGATTTCGAGGACTCTATCCCTTGCAAAATGAGACATGAAACGACTAATCGATAAGAAATGATTATGAAGATCATTTTCACTTATATATGCTCGGTACAGTACTTATCTGGCTATTTAAGATTTTCCACAAGGTTTTCAGTCTTTATGTGCACCTTCTAAGAAATACACTTTACACTGTGCTTGTTTTTCATTTCAGAAATTGTTTTATCAAATATAAAGCAGTACAATTGGCGAGAGTGGTACAAAGAAACTAAAGTGTTATGTACATCTATGAGGATTTGGCACGCACAGTATAAAAATTCAAACGCTTATCACTGGAAAAGTAGTATACAAATTATCAAAATTGCGATTTTAGAAAAAAAATTAGAAATTGTTTTTTTACATTAAAATAAATTTTTTTATCGTTTTTGTATTAAAAACGAGTTCAAGGATAAATCTCTATTTATTTATCTATTGACTGATAAAAAAATTTTTAGAAAAGAAAAATCCTTTTCGTGGTAAAGAATTTTCCGAAAACCAATTCTTCAATGTGATGAGTTTTTTTCAAAGTTTTCTGGAGCTTCAATGTAGTTCAGATTTAAAACAAATATTCTTCTGCACATAATGCATCGATACTTGGTATATATGTATGCATTTTTGAGGATGGACTTTTATATATAATTTTGAAAAATTCTTAGTTTTTTTGAAGCAAATTCTATTTTCTCAATTAATGAGAAAATAGAATGTTTTAGTTTTTTAAAGGAAATAAACAACATATTCTAAATCAGTCTGTCATATCCTAAGCTGCTTCGTACCAAATATGAAATGATAAGTTTTAGGAGAAGAAAATCTGAATGTTTTTCGGGTCACTCTTATACAGCAACTTTTTCAAAAAAATTAATGTTTGATAAAAACAGCACAAATCAATATTATATTACCCATTTTAGAGGGAAAAGGTAGCGCCGTGTACTTCTTTCCTCACTGATATATACGTAGTTCAAAATATCGAGTATTAATCGAACAGTTCGATGACCGAATCTGTTTGACTACCGCTGTCTATTCAGTTATCTCGTAGATGTTCCATGGCAGTAGATGACATTTTCCTATCGTTGCAACAATGGTCATGTGACGACGATGAGGTCAACAACACCTGAATCAATGATCATGCAGCTAGTGAAGAATGCGCTACCGCTGTGATTGAAAACGGTTCAATTCAGTGTCATAACCACACGGAAGTGATCAGCTGATGCATATATCTGTTAAATTCCAATTCTACTATCCACTATACTTCGACAGACAAAAAGACTGAAAATTTAGAAATTCATTTTTTGAGAAGAATTCAACTTCTGGCTCGTTTGCATTGCTAACAGAGTTAAAATAAGAAGCATAAACTTTCATTCACAGCATCGATCGACTAAATTGCGTTTATTTATATTTTCTACGGCTAGTCGTTTTTCAGACCATATAGATCGCATCTAATCCAAGATTTATGACCAGGGAATAAATAACATTTTTACCGTTGAAAGGTTGCTACAAGACGTATAAAATTCACTTAATCCTCTTGAAAACGTTCTTGGGATGAGATTAGTAATGATATGGTGTTGATTGTACATAGCTGCAGTGGATGACTTAAGCAAAAAACTTCAGCAGTCGCTGATTCATCATGCTCTAACCGAGCATTATTGATTGAGAAACTGTAAGTGCAGTCATCGTGTATCCAATGATAAACGATATATTTACATCTTATTACTTGAATCATTAATCATCATAATATTATAATTAAACATTAATTTCAACATCATATTTTTCTTTGGCTTTATTCACTTCTTTTCGTGCAAACCTGAAGTATTTCCAGTGTTATTTATTTCTATCAGTGTCGATATTTTTATTAAGATCAGTCAAATAAGAGCATTTTTAAGATATGAATAGAACAATAGCGGTGAAAAATAAAGTAGTGACGATATGACCGTTTCAGCTAACTTACACCGATGCTTTATTTTCTTACCACAACAAATGTATCAGAATAAATATCGATCAAATTCTTTTCGACTGAATATTTTATTTTTCGTAGAGTAGACTTGTTGAGGCTGAAGAAAAAATCTTTTTTTTAAAGATTCTGTATTTAATTTTCTACGATAAACACGACGTACGTTTCGTGATGATTCTTTATTGTTCATTTTGTCAATTACTTCAAGAGATGTTACACAAAAACTTTCAGCAAACAGGTTAACATAAAGCAAAAACGAACACATACTGCTAAGAAAGTAAAAAAAGATGCTATAAGACTTTGTCACCTTAATGTTATCTTCATTAAATTTGCAGATGTTGACTCAAACGAATTTTGAAAGGTTTTAATGATGAGAGAAATCACTACGGCCGCAGTTAGCGTTGAATTTCATCTTTGTCCAGTCATATGAGAGAAACTGAGGATAGCCTCTGTTCGAGACAAATGAATTTTGACTGCTAAAAAGTGTTAAAATTTGATTACTCGTCTAGGTTAGGCATAATGATACTCAGGCTATGAAGCGTAAAGAGTCGTCTGAAGATTTTGAAAAAGAGAACAAGTCGAAAATATTTATCTCTCATCAAAGCAAATGAAGATTTAATTAGTTTAAAGAATGAGATCTTGAACTATTAAAAGTCTGTGTGATTATGTAAGCATTGTTGCTAACCATTGAACAGGCTCTACACAATCACTGTTATTTGCTAAGTTTCTAACATATGTTACACACGCATAGTCAATCTTACCCTTCAAACTAAAGGCTACTAAAATAGTGTTAACAGAATTAGTCTGATTCAAATTTTCAGTGAGTTATGCAATAAGGAAGGAAAGACATTTAATGTTAAAGATTTGATATCACTTATTAGAGAAATAGAAATTGTTTTCGTTGAATTCTTAAAAAAACTGATTCATTAGTAAATCCTTCTATGACATTCGTGACAGTAGATGAAAAGGATATGAAATAGTAAGTTCGCACTATGAGAACTAAAAAATTTAGACAAAAAATACAGAAAGAAACATTTCTTTTAATCTATCTCTTAGTACTATATCTCCGGATGTGAATAGTATTGCCACTGTCTGTCATCCTTGAAGATTTTTATAAGCGATTACGCAAGCATAAAGTATTTGACTAACGTTAAGCAACTATGTCAAAATTCCTATGTACGTGGAAATATTGTGTATAGAAGAACAATTTTAAAATAGGTCTTTCTACAGTTGTTTGTCCTGGAACAATCATCGTATTATTGATACTAATCGTAAGTGTACGAACATATTGTTATATTTGTTTGCTTGAATAGCAATATGTTTTGGCATCAGATATAGATTTTTCGTTGTTTGATGCTTTCAGATAGACATGCACCAATTATAATCGATTAAAATTGTGGATTTTTTCGCAAAAACTTTTTCTCAACGAAAACTGATCTTCTAGAATTTTTCTAAAAACTGAATTTTGTAGAGCAAATATTTTTCTACAATATGCGCTATGGAATCCATTTTCTTCATCCTGGACCCGATACTTACAAAAAAAAGATTTCATAAAAGTCCCATTGTCGGTTATAATCAATTTAGGAATCTTCGTCGAAAAGCGACTACGACAGAAACAAACAACATATAGGCTTCCGCCATAGCTAGTTCATCTTGTAGAAAAATATTTGCACTACAAAACTCAGCTGTTCGAAAAATTTGAATATGCGTAATTCTCATGCAATCCGTTTCAGAAAAAAGGCAGAGTTTATCGGTTATGACCGGTGCATGCCTATTTTCAGAAGTATCAATTCTGATATTTTTTTAGTATAAATTCTTCTAAAGTTAAACAATAAAGTTAACATTCAAATATTAAAGAAGAAACAATAAAAAGACTCTTCATATGAAGTGTGTGCTTTTATCATCTGTATTATCTTCTCACTATAAATATTAATTGCTGCTAATCTAACGTTTGAACGACCTTGAAGTAATTTATTTTTATTTCAACTTAACGAAATATAACAGCGACGAATAGCTCATTAACAAAACGTTCATATGGTTTGAATAGACGAGTTCTGAAACTATTTGTACGGTCTCCTAGACACTGTTTCACAGCTGAAACTTTAGCAATACTGTAAATTGTTTCCAAATATAAAAAATATAAAAATAACCGTTAACCATTCAAAAAATCTATTTAGAATCTTATCATGATTACGTGTACTCAGGTTTTGTATCAAAAAGAATTGTCGAAAACTTAATCTGAAGTCGTGCAAAATTTCATGAGAACTGCCAGATCTTGAGGGTCTTTCAAGATTTTATGATGAACTTTTGTCAAGATTTTCTTCTAGATTTACTTCAGTAAAAATATATTTTTATCATTTTTTTCTATTCATGCTTAGTTCGTTAATAATTATTATAGAAACCAATTTATTAGTCTTCCATCCGATTGATGAGCATATCATATGTAGCTGTAAATATTTGCTATGATCAACTCTGATACGCATAATAAATTAAACCTATAGACACCAGTCTTTGCTCTATATAAATACTACTTTTGAGAGAATGATCATCAATCAGAAGAACAATCTTCTGTTAATAAGAATTCTCTATTCTACATAATATATTTTTATATTTGCTATTGATTCATCCTATTATCTTTGTATGTTTATTTACACTTACATGGAATGGGATGTCGAGACATTTTGTGGTTTTTATTTCTTTTATATTAACTAATTTTTTGAGAATATATTTAACAATGACAGAATTAAAAAATAAGAGAATAAAATTATAAATATTTATCATACAATTGTTGACCCTTCCATCTTCGTAGACTATTTTCTTGTTGATCGTTACTATTTGCTAATTCATTCGACGATTTTAAAACAAAATTATAATTGATATCGTAATGACTATTGTTAACTGTCATTGAACTAACAAAATTTCGTCTTAAAGTATTAATTGGAGAATATTCGCTTGTTATCTCATTACAAAAGGATTCATCATCCACATCGGAATGACAACTAACATTAAATAATGATAAATTCGACCGAACTGTTTGTAATAAAAGGCATCCATTAGAATCACATATAAAACACATATTACTGTCAGACATCTGACTTAAATTTGTCATCGATGCATAAATTGTCAATCGGTGTTTGTTCTTATCCTGTCAAAAAGATAAATATGAAATCTAATAGCATAATTTCATGATCATCATATTCTAAGCCTATACGATAACACCTATGATATAATCAAGTTTTACCTGCTGCAAACTGGTTAACGATTGTCGATGTCTGTTTAAGATACATCGTTGACTGTTGCATGAAAAACCTAAAAAATTTTGTTTTTATTGAAATAAATTGATGACAAACTCGTTGTTTAACTTTACATACTTTTCTTCACTAATCGTTTTATTAAACAAAAAATGGATTGTCGTGTGTTTTCATTTTCCATCTGTAAATATAATATCCACGTTAAATTCTTGAATTTGTGGAAGAAGAAATGCGTCCTTCTAGATATCGTTCTGATTTTACTTTAGAAAAGTATTCTTTTATGTTCCTATCATAAAAGCAAATATTCACATGCTCAATTTTTGTCGTGAAATGGTTATGTTAACTGGCTAGTTTTATTTTGAATGACTAACTATGTGTGAAGAGAAACGAAACATTCACAGATATTGTTAGAACAGAGTTCGTTTATGAAAGGAAAAAAGAAGAAGGTTCTTATTAAAATATCACATTCAGTAGAGAGAAAATAAATCATCATTCTTCATTGTTTCTATCAATGACGGCATCCCATTTTTTTCTAGTGATTATAATACTAACAGATAACGACAGTCTATATATAGATACGATGATAAATTACTCTCACTGTTTTCACACACAGTCATGAAACGCACGATGTTCATCATTAAACAAGAAGAAACACCAGGATCATATGAATTTACAAAGATTTTTCTTTTCTTTTGTTTATAATCATCAAACAAACTCAGTTTAGCAGATATCATCAAACCAAATATAGATGCATGTAATAAAAAACACGAATGTGAAAAAAGCCTTGAAACAGCTCTCAGTGTTACTATTCATCAAAAGTGGTGCTATTTTTTAGCTATCAAAATTAACACGCATCATCAAGGTTTAAAAAAACTTTCGTATAAATTATAAGAAGCTAAATCTTTACACGTGATACTTGTCATCAAAGAATGATACCTGTACAACTTCGTTCACTGATTTACTTTCTATGAGCATACATATACACAGTGCGAATGACTTGAATTTATAGTGTAAGTTTTGTGCTAGGAATCAGCTGTGATACAAGATTAATAGTTTTATAAAAAATTTTGATTTGCACACCATTCAATAACAGAAGAAGATGAGCTGAACAAAACAGAGCAAAAAATATTTAAGAGTAACATTTCATATTATATCGGAATGAAACTATACGTTTGTTAGAATATCGAGTTCGGTTGTATTTCTTTTGTCCTGTTTGATGACCGAAGCCCAGCAACCTTCAAACAGGTAAGTTTATAGACTAAATCTTACCCTATTCAATGATATGTAAACCACGACTAAACGTTGTGTGATTTGGAAAACATATTGAAAATACTTGTAGCATACCAAAATCATACATTCTGTTCATACCAAAAATCTCAGATGATCCCAGTTTTTTCACACAAGATTTTTAAATTTAAAATTTTAAGTTTATCAACCGTTTAAATAATACTTTTGAATGACGTAAAAAAAATCAAAATATATATTCCAGAAAAATTCTAATGGATGACGTTTTCATGAACTATCTTGTAATATGCTGTTTGTAAATAAAAATAGCTATGAAAGTTAATGACAGAGACGGAATGAGGTATTAAACATTTTAAATCTAATAGATATTCATTGAATCAAAATTATTTTATTAAATTTATCGTCGAAGTAAAATCGTTATTTATCAAAAACATATACATAACATTTTCGGAAGCTTGCATAATGCAAAACTAAAGCAGAGACTGGAGATCAATTTTAATTTTGAGAAGTTTTAATTGTTTATTTGCATAAACGTCATCAAACAAGTTTTGGACTTTAGAATTTTAAAATTCGAACTTTTACACTTTTGTCGTCGACTAGTATCGTCTCATAGTGCTTCCGCCAAGATGCTTGTATACTGACCGTATAGAAAAGATATATATTATTTTGTCTGTGTACAAGAAAACAAAAACTTTTTTTTCTTTTTTATCGTAAGGGACATGGATACTGGAAGGCTTGCTCTACAAAACTGTTGATACAGAAACCTGGAATAACTTAAAAATAAAAAAATATTAGAATTTTTCCTAAATTTTCTAAGTTTTTTGATTTTTTCAATTATAGTTTTTCGTTTTCCAACAGAAATAAATAAGATTCATATTCGACAACCGAAAAAAAGAAATTTAAATATATTTAAAAATCACCGAAGAGTTTAAAATAGGATGATTTATAAATAATTTTAAATTTATTTTATTTTTGATTATTGTATAAGACAGACAAAATCATTCTCTCATTTACTAAAATTTCTACAGAACCTTTTCAAAATTTAAGTACTTTCCATTGATTTTGAAAATATTTTTGTGTAGATAAAAGAGAGTTTATCTTGACGATCTGAAGTAGTGTGTATCGATTTCGAGTGAAATAACTTTTTTTATTTTCTATCAAAAAAATTTGTGAAAGATGATTTACACTTATGGCAAATTCTCTGAGGATTTTTGTTACAAACACTCAGTCTACATAGAAAGTAACTATGTAGACAACACGTTTTGATCTGAAATTTCAAAATTCAAACCTCCATATATTTGTTGCCAATTTTTGGTATCTATAGATCTTTATTTGTGTAAATGGATCCACATCTCCAAAGACATAGCATGGCACATTACAATAAACGAGTTAGGTAGAGTCAGGTTATGTAGAAATCGTGATTCTTTTTCTCACAATATATATACACATCTATATCTGTCTGTCTATTTCCACTTCATCCTAGGTTAGGTCAAGAAGGTTATGTAGGAATTATAATTCTTCCTGTGAGAATAGCCCACCCATGAAATAATTTTGATACCCTAACGCAGATTAGCATGAGTTCAAAAAAAGTTTTCGAGAAAACTGCGTTTAAACGGGTTAAATTTTCAAATATGACGCGTGCTAACGTTTTTTCGGAACGGTAACGAGACAGATCCGGTTAAATATGGTTCTAAGAAATTTAACGATTTTCCATGCATTCAAGTTTTCCAAAAATCGATGATATACGGCATAAACGCGTTTAAAAATAAAGAATACATGTACATTCTTGAATAAGAGTTTATCTTAATCCGTTTAAACGGGTTAGAATAGATTTTAACTCGCTAAAACTCGTTCAACGATAACTCACTAAAGTGTTCCAGTGCATTAGAACGGTAATTTTCCAGATGAGGTGGTCATGTTTTTGTTTTGCATGATCAACTCATATATAAATAGCATGTCTTTTCCTACGAGATATACGATACATTCACTTAGAAAATTTTCTTAAGTTTTCCTCTTACTATATATACGTGTAGAGACTAGTCTATGATAATAAGATATCGATTATAAATAATAAATCAATTGTTTTAATTCACTTTACCTATGAGTCAGCCGTTTATGGTTGTATTACAGCGAGAAACTTGAATTCTTTAAAATCTGCTCGATATGCAGGTGCTAGAGCTGTATCAGGGCTATAATGTACAGTTCGGCAAAAACAAAAAGTTTTAGATCATTCAGATTGGAACAACTGAACACTTTCTTTCTATCGATAAAAATAGTTTATACCAAATCACTTTTTATCTGTCTACTTTGTTTTGTAGTAATATGGTAAACAATACATAAAACTTACAGCTCTTACTTTATCTTTACAAAATGCTAAAAAATTGTTGTTCAAGTTTGATTATTAATAATATCGAACAAGGGACACAGGTAGAGGACATGTTTTAAAATTTAAAACTGAATTGTAACCAAAGATGCATGCATAACATGTTACTTTTTCTGGTTGAGAGAGATAGATTTGAAAAATAAAACAATTTTATTATAAAATAAGACTAGCATAATAGTAAAAAAGCGAAACTCAGTTAGACGTCAGGTTTTTTCCACCATTGTATAACACCAAACTGTCCTGTTACCATCCAATTCGAATCTAAGTTTTTAGCATAATTTATTGATTGTTCATCTAATTCCAATTGTACATCTGATTTTAATGTTCGTAGCACTACCAATGATGTTGGATGAAAACCTCGTAGAGCATAGTCAAATTTATCATTTAAATTCCATTTTAAGTCACCTACTAACTTTCGATAATTCAGATCACCTTTAAATATTAACAAATGTGAATTTGTTAACGATGTATATAAGTCGGACGAATATTTTCTCATTTGAGAATAATCAAATGGTAATGTATAGAATTGATGTGCCGTTATTATCCATTGTCCATTTTTCACGTGTTCTTTCCATCTTTCTACAGTTTTCTGCCATATTTCACTTTGAGATTTTTCTAACTGACTGAATAACCAATCAAGATCTTGTCTGGTCGCATCACTGACAAACCATGGCATCATTTTTAAATGTAATGTCAGTCGTGAACATAAACGTTTCGAGATTAGAAAATCAGCGAGACACAAATCGCCGAGTAGTTCAAAACCAGCATTATCCAATATCAAATCAAAATAAATATCATGATTAAAATCATCACTATGTTGTTTGACTATATACTGATAAACATCCGATTCATGATTAATAAGTAGGCACTGTTTGAGTTCACTTAAATTAGGAAAAAAAGACAATAGTTTTTTTACAACTATTTAACAAAAAAGTTTACCTCAATTGATGGAATGGATCGTGATTTTGACTAGAGTCACTACCAGCTGATAATGATAAATCACATCGATTACCCCATAGCGATATCTAAATTAAAAATTATTTGTAATAAGAAGTGATCAAGGACTAAATATTTGACCAAAACTCGATATTCTTGATTATACATTGTTGCTCTTCAGAAATGTCCGATAAGGATTACTGACAGCAACTACTACTTTACATACTAAAACCACACAATGTTTTACTAGTAAGTGAAATTAGAAAAAGTGGGAAGAATAAATAAGTTTTACAAGTACTACTTAGTTGTAGAAAAGCCCTTGCCATGAAAACTTAGACTGTCCGTTACTCCACGCACGTAACTCTCCAAACTGTCTGTCTATAAATTTTTTCTAAGTTAAGTTGAGAATATATATGTCGAATATCACCTAAAATGCTTGAATAATTTTCCCCTTAATAATCATCTATAGCAGCGTTTCCCAATTTATTTTAGCCATGGAACCCTTTCATAAAATTTAAAACTTTGCGGAACCCCAGTAGTATCTTGACATAATATTTGACAAAAATTATTTAAGACTACGTAATTTTTTTTACGTGGTGAAATTAATTTTTATCTTCTTATTTTTTTCTGGCGGAACCTTTGGTTTCACTTCACGGAACCCCATTTGGGAAACGCTGATCTATAGATTTAAGTTTGATTATAGCGACACGAACGTGGAAGGTTTGTATATATAAAACCATTTACTACTTTTCATTCATACTGTTTAAACACTTTACTACAGACCTTTCGGTCAAACGGTTGATCTTCTTCAGTGTAACAAAAAAATAAATAAATTATAAGAATGTTTGTAAAAATATTAGGAAGATATTTTCATAACTATGCAGAAGAATGAATATTAAACGAAAAAGTTGGAAAAAGTTTAGCTAATATAACTGATATGAGATATCACAAATATAAAATGATTACTCCACAATGGAGGTCAAATTAAAAAGTGCGTAAATCCGAAAAGTGACAAGGAATTCTACTTTGATGATAGTCAGAATTAGAATAAGTCAGTAGTATTCGAGGATAGGGAAGATCATTAGCCAGCTGAAATTAGAACAAAAAATAATAGATATAGAGCAGAGTCCAAAACGAATCGAATAATTCGACATTCGATTTGGTTCGATCCTTAACCGAATTGAACCGAACCGAATTTGATTTCTGATATTTGCCGTACTCTTTAACTAAACTGCTTACGACGGAACATTCCCAGTTGTCCAACCCCGATTTTTTTCAAAACATACATCAATCGATAGCCTATATCGCGATAGTAAAAAGCCTAAAAGGATTTATCCCCATAGCTCTTGAAGACCCGGTTTTCTGGAAAAGTAGTTTTCCAGAAACTCTAAAAAAGTAACCGAAACGTTTCTTAATAAGGCATGATTGTAGTCCGTGAAACTTCTGATTAAAATGAGACATCTCCCAGCTCTACACGACCTTTCTTTGCAAAGTTAGAGAATTCACAAGAAAAGCCCTAAATTGATTTCGTCTTATTTCTGTAGCTTCGAGCTGATAATGAACATTTAGGGCTTTTCTTGTAAATTCTCTAACTTTGAAAAGAAAGGTTGTGCAGAGCTGGGAGACGTCTCATTTTAATCAGAAGTTTCGCGGGTTACAATCATGCCGCATTTTCCTGATTTGTTTCGTGCTTTGATATGAACTAAGGAAACAAGTAAAAAGGGATTATAAAACGTAACACTTTAATAACACTTTTAATAATATCTGTATAATATATAGATATTGAAAAAATTTGACCTTTTTTTTACATGATCATTAGTTACTCAGTCAGCATACGAGTAAACATAATCAACGTCATATAAAACTACGTGCTAGAGATTTCTAAAGTTAATAGGTCAATCTAATCAAATTCACTAATTTCTCGAATCTCATCTCTTCATTCTATGCTTTAAAATCATATATATCTTGACCTTTTTGTCATCTTTTGTTCTTCATGTTTGAAATTTTTGAAGCTGCGACTAAAAACTATAATGCATTTGAGAGCTGATACTTTGAGCTATCCAATAATTTATAAATGTCAAAATCGACCTTTTTCGAGTGAGGACGACACACATAAACAAGGTCAGTCTCAATTTTTATGCTTTGGACTTTTCTGTCGCTAAAAAGGTCTTGTAAAGTTTTAACAAAGTCGAATTTAAGAATGAAAAACTGAGTACTAGTGGTATATGTTTACCTCCATATAAGTACTGAATTGTTCTCTTAATGTTGATTCTTCTGTATTTTTCATTTGTAAATCATTATCTAATTGTGATAAAAGAGTGTGGGCGGCATTTTCCGATGCCAAAAAACTTCGTTGTTTCATCTCATAAAACGGATCCGTCGTATTCATATGTTTCCTAAAGTAACCGTAATTAATGATAACATTATATGAAAAACATTATATTTTTACAATCAACTCACGTTAGATAAAATGCTTGCATAATACATCGATACATGTAACATTCAACAAGAAGCCACGGACTTTGAAACCAACTTAGTGCTTGTCCTAAAATACTCTACTTGAATAGTCATCTTTTTCTTTCATCATATTCAAAATTCAACATACCTTTATTCCTCATGTCTTGCAAACATCGATTCCAAATTTCAACATCGGGATATTGATCACCCAGCAGCACAATAGGTTTATCCTAAGAAAAATAAGATAGATCTATATAGAAGAATGCAAGATTTAACGATTTCCTTACTCGCGCGATTTCATAACGTAATTTGTCCATAGCACCTATACACGACTTACATTCACGGTCAGCATCCTAGAAAGAAAAACATCGAAAAACTTTCTTGTAAATTATAACAATATGAATGGATTCTGGAACCAACACCTCATTATGTGTGACGGATTACATAAAAAATGAGTGAGTATTTTGTTTTGTTTTCAATATTAAACTGCAAGTGGGAAAAACACTCACCTCACCAAAGTCATGTAATATATCTGATCGATGCCTTGCCAAAAAATCGACAATACGTGTAACAATCAACGGTAGACGATCTTTCACGGTTTCGTATGCAAATGAACTATAAAAAAACGGATATCACTTGTTCTTTTAACGTAATTTTTAACGTTAGACATGTTTTACTTCTTGTCTTTAGCGGATAATGGCGGTGGTAGACTCATTGCACTACAGAAGATTAAAGATTTATTGTAATAATAGACTGTATAATTTTGAAGTAAAACATAATATTCGGTGGTAGTTAGTGAAAATTAAATAAAGCGCAAAATATACAATTTTTAATCTATTGTAAAAAAAATAAAATAAAATAGGATCCCTCTGTAAAATCATAAATTTTCGAATAATAACAGACTTTATTAGCTACAGTATCTCTGAATATCAAAACATAAGAAATTTTCAATGACTGAAATTTATTGTCAGAGAAATACATAGAGCACAAACAATGTAGACTTTTTTTTAAATATAAACTCAAACGATTCATAAACAATATAAGAAACCACTAATATGTTATTTTTTCATCGTCTCTCTAAAAAGGAGTACATAGCTAGTGTTTCAGTTGGAAGACAATTGGGCATTCTTTGTCATTACTAAGTAAATATATTAGAAGTTCATCGATTCTGAATATTTTAGAATCTTTTTCCGAAAAAAAACGAGCAATAGCAAGTAGATAATAATGATTCAATGTGGAAATTTCTTTTTGATAGTGATAAAATACTCATTTTGCTGAATAAGTCTTATTCTCATGACTCTTCTTATGAATTAAAAGTTGCTGAAAAAATGAATATATTTGAAGTTATCAAAATGTTATTCCAAATTCAAAGATTCATACATTCTTTTTGACATATACATTTAAGGAAAAAACAAATATTTTCTTTATTTGTACAAAATAAAATAAAACAACAATAAACAAACAAGTGAAAAAAATATCATACAAGAAAAAAAAATGTAATGATTTGTCATCATGATCAAACGATGTCAACTGTGTACATATCCTCTATACTATAGATTCTCATAACTGGATACAAACCTGTCACTTATCGACTTCATCTTCTCGAATAATCTACACTGTCTTATTTCTTTTCTATGGGCACTCTTTTATCTTTGCCTGAAACCAAACCAAGTAATACAAAAGTAATTAATTTCAATTTTTTTTATGTCTCCCATTGTTGTTCCTATATCTAGATGTATTTGTATTGGTTTAGTTTTTGACTGGGATCATAATCATCACTCATTCGTTTCCAATCTTCTACAGTTTGTCCGACCACGAAACCTATTGCTCGTTTTCTAGTATGCAATGTTTTTTCTTCAATATCAGCCCATCGTACCTGCAATATGATGGGAAAAGTTTTTGATTTTCTAATTTCAAATATAAACAGCAATCTTTGATAAAACTTACTCGTTTTTTGCCAGATGATGTAGGAGAACGTATTGATTGTCCTTCGACAAGAGACTCGATACTATCACCTGATTCTATTTCGTTCAACCCATCTGCCGACGACACCGATGGCGAATTTGATCGATGAACACTCCTTGTTCGAAGTCCATCAAGACGGTCTGAAAATAAATAATTGATATTTGAATGAGACAAAAGAAAATACCAAAATAATTCATTTTTTTTTTGTTCTACACAGCATAAAACAGACGGTATAAATAATCTGTAGGAAGCAATTTGGGTGATCGATGATCTCAGCAACAGATGAGTGCAGTAATATACTGTATTCATACTGTTTTACAGACGTTAGTAAAATCGATTTTGGTAGAAAAAAAAGAGAGCGTTTCAAATAATAACTAAGCATCTAGTTTTTCATCCAAAATGCTTAAGAGATTTCTCTTTAAAAAATTGTTTACTTATAACGAAAGCTAAAATGAAAACGTAAAATAAAGAATGGCAAGGATGCATACCTACGTTTGTTTCGGTAACGTCCATCAACAACTCCCATTTACTTTTCTTTGCAATCTAGAACGATGGCTGCTGTATGTGTGTGTGTCTATATTCCTATATTTCTTTTTTGTTCTTTTTATTTTTTAAATGGATTGTATGTGCAACGAAGACAAACTTCCAATACATTTTTAATAAGGTCACACATTTAATGCAACAATACTTACACTCTGCATCGACAATACTTATCAAATAGTATCAAAATCGAAATGAACTCTCGAATACTTTATCAAAATGACTTTTCTTGAACAAATGCGCTCACTTTTTCTAATATGGACCTATCTTTACCTGACACTCGGAATTATCATCGTCTGAGACATTTTCCATTGTCGAAATATTATTATCATCATCTCCATTATTGCTATTATCACTTTCTTTCGTTTCTTCTGCAACAGCATCACCCATTTCAATCTTGAATTTGAATTAGATTAGATAAAAGTAAAGTAGTCATTTTTCAAGTATGCTTACTTCTTCGATAGCATCATCCTGTAAAAATGATCGAATATCCAGTATATTATAACGCAATGGTAATACTTCCCAACATTTATGAATCTAACATATACATTGCTTCTAACAACAATTAATTTCATTAAACTCACATATAACTTACTGCTTGAATATCTGTCAGTGTTCGATTATGTATATTTCGATTGGCGCATGATACCGGATCATTGTGTAATTCAATAAAGTAAACCTTAAAATTTAAATAATTCAATTTCAATTCTGAAATTTTATAAGATCCATTTACTCTACCTGAAATTGATGCATTTCAGCATAATCGACCATCTCTCGAAAATGACGAATTTCATCATTATTTTGATCGACAATTAAAAATGGAAAAAATCGATCATCCACAGTTTTCTTAAACGTTTTGATCATGCTTTTCCGATATGTTTCTTCCATTTGTTCATCATATTCATATTCCATTACCTTAAAAAGTTTGAGTACACTATTAGTTGCATATTTTAAAAAATTTTAAGCAATAATTTACATTTGTTTTTATAATTTTTCCAGTTTTCACATCTTTGCTTTCTTTTTCATTTTCGGTAAGGAAATAATTGTCTAATGAAAAAATTTTTGGTTTTGACGCACCATGCTTCTCTTCTTCTGCCTAAAACACAAAAATAATAAAAAATCTGTATTTCTTATCGAAGTGCATATTTCAATTACCTTGATAAGATCACTAACGTATGATTTACCAGCACCAGGTAAACCTCGAAGAAAAATAACAATTTGAGATGGTCGTTGAGATCGTCCAGGTTCTTTTAAAATGGAATCAATCTAAAACGTTGAAAAGACGATCAGTATACTATTCAGTATGCATATTTTTAAGACAACTTCATACACATATCATTTGATGTTTTTGAAATATTTTATGCTGTTTTGATTCTAACTGAAATGTTTGATCTAAATAAATAACGAAACACAGAGAGACCATAATTATAGTGTACATGGTTGTTACATACTACTGTTGCTAGAATGCCATCTTGTTGGACCGTGATTATTTATAGGCTGTCTCATTTGTGATGGTAATAAACTATGTGGTACCGGTGGGGGAGGGGGTGGCAGTGATAGCATCGATTTTGATTGTTGTTGAGTTGATAAACTCATTAGTGATGGAAATTGTTGCTTTTGTTCACCAAGCGACTAAAATATAAATTAACTAAATGCATATATAAATTACAATAAATAAACTCGTCAGATACCTGTTCTTGTTCTTCTAAACAACTACTTTTTCGTTTAACACCAGGATGAATTTGTGGTGGTTGCAATGGAACAGATGTAGTCTGCTGATGAACTGAGTGGAAAAAAGGATTGTCAGATTGCACGATGGAAGAAGACCAGATTTGATTCGGCTGTTGTTGAGGAGGAAAAAACATCATGGATGATGGTTGATGTTGTTGGTATTGTTGTGGTGTATAGGTGTACTGCATCGCTTGAGACGATGAACCAAATGGCATGATTACTGGTTGAGACGATGTTTGTTGTGTGAGGTAAATGGTAGGTGGTCGAAGTTGTTGTTGCTGCTGCTGCTGTTGAATCAAGACAAATTGTTGTTGCTGTTGCTGTTGTTGCTGTATATTGGAAACTAGATCAACTAAAATAAATATAATGTAGTTATCCGATATTGAAAACAAGTCAATAGAATACGTACTACGATAAGGAATCATGACATCAAAATAAATCAACTTTCATTAATTATCTACAAACAAATCAAATTGCTACGCTCATCAGATCAAGGATAATAAATGTGAAACTTCTCTTTCAGTATTCATGCCAGTAGGTTCAGTATATATCAGGCAGAGCAGTTAATGGATGTTTCGTAAGGGATACTATTAAGATTGTTCAAAACCTTAAAGGATATTTTGCATTCTTGCCGATAAAACTACATTGCTTCCGCCCCATATCATCTCGCTCTACACAACATGAGAATAAACACGCATTAACAAGTATTTATTCACATCCTATCGAACAAGCAAGGAAAAATGCATTGCTGATTGACTAATTAGATATCTGACAGCAGTGTGACAATGAACAAAGAAAAAAATTAATTAATTATTACAAACAACACACTTAAAAAGAACTCATGAAAAAAATTCCATCTGACATCGAACAGGAGAGTTGACGCTAATAATTATTTTGTCTATTTTTTTGTTTTAATTGATTTAATACATTTTTTGTATTTGTTAAATCACGACATGTACCATAATAATTATCTATCAACGTTTTATAATGTGTTCCTTGATCAGTGATAACGTGTTTGATTTCTTCATAATATTGGATTTGATTTTCAAAATATGTTTGATATTGTTCATAATTTTGTCTATTAAAGAGTATTAAGCAAAGATAAGATTATTTACTGAGATGTAAACTATGTATTGCTGCAAATAATACCTAATTTTATCCAGGTGTTGTCGAGTTTCATCAGTATAGGTTATTTTCATTAGTTCCATGCGGCACAATCTCAAAACATAGGAAAAACACATCTAAAACCAGGTTACAGAAAAAATCCACCTACTTACTGTATTTGTTTCAATATTAAATTACATTGTTGTTTGATTGAATCACTCTCTTTTGTGTGAATCTCGTTTGCAGCAGTAATTTTTAAATTGTCAACAAATGACTTTACTTGCGATGATAACTTCGCGTAAAGCTGATTTATATTTTTTACTTCTTTTTGTAACATTTCATCTTTGACTTTCAATTGTTTACGATTCAATTGAACATTCGAAATTGTATTCGAAATTACGTCGTATAATTCATTTTTAGTCGTACCTAGTTTCAAAGAAAATTCTGAGTGAAAAATGCACCCTACGATTATGTCGAAAACTCTATTCATTTTCTTTTTCGAAATTATTTTCAACGCCATCTTACCCACATAAAGACAAAGAGTATTCACAGTTTCGTTTAATGAGTCTCCAACTCGGTGTTGAATAGATGGTGGCAATTTCTTAAAAACAAACGTATAACTAGTAGAGAGTTTTTGTTTTTCAAACCCAACGCAGAAGCTTACACAAAGGCAGTCTTTGAGGTTCGTAACTGATGATGTCAATAAGTTTTCCTTTAAGCGTCGGACAATGGCTAAATCTGAATAAAAAAACAAAGTATTAAAATATCATTGATGGCTCTTCGAAGATGGTGGTTTAGTTAGTATCTTTTATCTTTAAAAAGACTCTTAATACGAGACGAAACAAGTAACATTCAGTACATGCAGAAAAGATTCAAGATACGCTATGTCGCTCGGCAACATCTTCAACATAGTTTGTCAGTTCAAAATACGAACTTTTGTTTATCAACTACATTTAGGCGCGCTTAGTACTGATATATACAATACCAATTAGACAAAACTTTGTTATCACATATGGATTATTCTAGAGCAAACACCATAACCAACTCCAACCATCGATCTGGTGCACAAATGCATTTTATCGATAGTATTTGTCAGACTATTAAATGTAAACTGATGATGCAAAAACTAATGTGATATTAGATGAACCGGATGATGAATACGCCAGCTACGAATGTTGTATATGTTGGAAATAACAAACCACAAGAATTCAGTTATCATAAATAATAAATTATCATGTAAAACAACAGAAACGGAAACACTCGATCGAAATACTTATTGTCGAGCAAATCGCTATTAGATAGTAGTTTTCACACAAAGTTGACCGACTGATCAGTAATTTAGCATTTGATGACAACGCAGACTCATAATCAAATATAATGAATTACTTACCAGATGTTGATAATTCTTCGCTTATGATCACTTCATCAATTAATCGCAATAATAACTTTTGTTCAATCGTCATTGATTACAAGTACAATAAAAATAAACGTAAACTATTAGGATCTGAAAAACTAATAGAATATAATAAGTTCTCCCTTGATCATCAACGGATTAAAAAATTAAAATTCATGTGGAATTCATGAAATTTTTTTGAAATGTATATATCCAACGATTTGTTGGCACTCTTATTTGTGAGATTAATCTTTGACAATAAATTCGACTACAGCAAACACACCGTTGTAAAACGCGACAACTTGACTGTTTAACAAAAACAAACACACCGTGTTCCGATTTTCATCGTTAGTGTGATCAAAGAACACGTAAACTCATCATTAAACTTTGAGTTAACATTATTATTGTACGTTATTAATTAATAGTCAGTGATTTCATATTTATACATTGAACATAATGAATATTCATTCGCTCAATTGAAACTTTCACTAAAGACATAAGCAGCGTGCATCACAAAAAACTTCAGAATTTTTATTTCTATCTGTTAATGATATTTCAAATCTGAACGAAAATGTGAAATTTATTTCGTTTTATGGTTTTCTATAACAAGAATTTCTAAATTTTTCTTCGTCATTACTTCTTTTTGACCTATAAAACAACAAGCGATAAAGCAATAGAACTGATGTAGTGAAATATTATCTGCAGTGATACACCCACGTTTTTATTCAGTATCCTGATTATTTACGGTTTTTTTCTATAATTGTCAAACATAATGCATATTAATTAATATTTCAGAATAATTTATGTTTCTGGATGTTCCGCAGCGCGTTCTAAAAATGTAAAGTATAACAGACACTAGATGAGTGTACATGAAACTGATTTGAGTTCATTCACACATCATGTCAATTCACGTTTAAAATGCATACACTAAGAACTCATCATTGTAGGTAAGGGACTGAGTAGCAAAAAGGCTATTTTTCTTTAAAGAAATAAAGGTATGAGCTTTAGCTAACTTTCAACATTAGCAATTTTTATCGTTCTTTTTTAAAGTAGCCGCAAATCACGACTAGAAGGAAAAGCAGGATAGCTGATCTCTAAGAATTTTTAGAGATGAGTTTCCGTTTGATTTCATAAGCACACTGTATAGAAAGGTTTCTCTTTGATTGGCTAGATTCGTGACATTACGATGTAATACACTGAAAAAAAATTATTTTCTTACTTTCGCAAATCTTCATGCGTTTAGTCATACTCGGACTCTGTACACAGTAAAGAGCTATATTTTACATGAGCATATCAAACTACCTAGTATGTACCATTTGCAGTGGTCGTTAACGACTTTCTATTGGTTCAACAGTCAACTAACCGTAAGTTTATGTCCTCTCGGAATATGAAAAATAATGCATGAAATTTTTGAATCAAGTTTTTCTTGTACATTAATAAGTATAAAAGTTTGGCGTAGAAGTTTTCGAGATATCCTGATAGTGAACTTTGGTGAAACTGAATGCAAAAATTCTCTCATCGGTCATTTCTGTCGTTCGTCGCTCTCTAACATCTGGAATGACGGAAATAAGACCGATAAGGATATGCTGACTAAGACTAAGACTAAGATTGTTTATTCACGAAAAGTGAGAGTCATCAAAGGTCACCGACCTGTAGTAACAATGACTCAAGCCAAACAACACCAAAATAGTAATAAAAGAAATAACAAAATAAAGAAGACAACTAAGATTAGAACCAGAAGTAGTAAAATAAAACAAAAAAATTTTAAAAAAAACAACAGAAAAAGAACAAGCATAAATGCTTAACCTGCAAGCGTTTCACTGGAAGAGATACTGAAGTAAGGCTGTTTTGAAAGACATAAAAGAAGAAAGACAAATAACTGACTCTGGAAGATTATTCCAATCAGTAATAGTTGAATAAAAAAGTGAAGAATGCTGGAACTACGTTCCGATCTGATTTTTCAGTCCAAGTGTGTCTTAGTCAAGATCCCATGAGAACACCGTTCTGCATAAGAGTTCTTTTGGATTATTTTATCAGATAAGCCAGCAGGAAAAAAATTTATTCCTTCTTGTACAGGATTCTATGATATTGATTCGCGATATGGACAATTGATATGATGTACATTTAGTGCTATTAATGTGCGAAGACAGTATGTTAATAATGATTGTACATGTCTTGAATTTTCTCTACAAAAGAAAAATTTTTCTTAGCGACTTATCTGATAGAAGTAGAGCATTTCTTTTGTTTTCATTTATTTAGACAAAACATAAATGAAATGTGGATATGTCACCATTAGATAATAATTCATCGGCCGATGAATTATTTGAAATATTTATCAATGCTCAAACAGCTAAAAGTATTTTACATTCATTTGAAGAGTTATGTAAATGTTTAAATATAAAACGAACAGAATATGGTAAAAGAATATTATATAAAACATTGTGTTCAAAATTAACGAGTTGGAAAGCAAAAAGTTTATGGACAAAAATTGATAAACGAACTAATCAAAAAGAGTATGAAAATGGACGGTCATGTTCAGAACTGAAAGTATGTATATACCATCGGAATTTATATAATAAAAAAATGTCTGAAATAAATATATTTTCTTCATTAGTGAAAATTTCATCAGGACTCTTTTCGTAAGCAAAATGAACAGCTTGTTTTGAAGTTTACTGGATTCCAATTATTTTTTATTTTCACCTCAAATACCTTTGTTATAGCATGACAAATGCGAACATCTAATTCCATCATAATTATGTGGAACGTTCATTTTAACACACAGAGAGGCTGGTTGTGAGAAAGAAAAGCTTTAATTCCACTTTTTTTAATTTTTAACGCATGATCAAGATCTGTCTTTGAATCTTGTTTGTATTGTTTTTTCGGCATGTGCATGCAGTTTTTTACCGAGCAAATTCGTTCAGTTAATGTGATGAGCGAACATACTACGTACAAACAATGCAATTGCTTTTTCGATTTTACGTTATTTTATAGCCTACGGTTTATGGCGATACTGACAATATGTTGCCTGTTTCTTCAACAACTCTTGTTAACATTTTCTGCTAACCAAAAAACTATCAGGCACATTTTGTACTCAAGTTTTATTTTGATTAATTGTAGTAAGATAATCGATTCGATCTTGCGGATTGGTTTTTCTTTTTACTCCTCAAATAATTTAATTCTTCATGTGAATATTATTTCAATAGAGGTAGTAAAAAATTATAATAGTTATTATCAGATTTCTTTGGGGTTGCGATATTGTTTGTTCACATTGCACATAATCCACATTCGTATATTAAGCTCTGTGTGAGCACACATATTTTTTCGACACTTTATTGGATATTATATTTTACATATCTTTTTTTATCGTTATTATAATCATCATCAGAACGGTTAATCGGTGTAAAAGTGAAATATAATTGAAAAAGTAATGTAAAAAAATAGCAATAAAAGTTTAACAAGAGAGTGTTATGATCATTACAATGAAGAAAAGAAAAAAATTATACATAACCCATCGACAATTAAATACTTTAATCGATTAAGTACTACATACTTATGCTTCTGAGAATAACTTCTGAGCATTCTTTTAACGATTTAATTTTAATCTTTTAAAATTTTTAAAAGTTATATTTCATTCTACGAAGAATCTCACGTTGCTTACTGTCGAATATAGAGGAAAAGTATTTCACGTAGAAATCACATTTTTTTCTGTTTTAAAAGAATTATTTGTTTATAACTAGACTTTTTCAATAAAATGTGTTATGTTATACATAGAAGAAACCTCTTATAAGTGAACTATTTCAACTGGTCGCCCGCTTTTTGCGTAAAATTCATAGAACTATATCCAAACTATAATATAATTTCATGTATGCCTATCGGGATCGCTCATAGCCAATTGACTCTTCCTTTTCTGGGAACAGATCTCTAAAAAAGCAAACTGACTGTTGAACGAGACTTAGCAAATTTGGATGTGGATCATCCATAACTATTTCTGAGATGAGGAAAACGAAAAAAAAAATTACAAAATTGAACAAAAATTGAATCACTTTGGAACAACGTATGACACCATCTTTTATCTCGCATAAAGTCTATTTGCTATCACTTCGTATATTTCTTTGCTTTTTTTGCAAATTTTTGGTGCTCATTACAAATGCGAGGGTTTTGCGTGATATTACCAGCAAAGCTTTAATGATGCCATCAAATCTTTGATCAATGGTGAAATTGTTTTTCTTAAATTAGAGGAAATAAATATTGTCAGTTTTCGGAAAATGACAGCAGATAATGTGAGCTATTTTCATTTAGGTTTGTATCATTGGTGCTGGTCCGTGTGGGTTACGTTTCGCAATTGAATGTGCATTATTAGGTGCAAGATGTATTGTTGTTGAAAAACGAGACAGGTAAAATACTGTTAACTGATATTTTGTCGACCACTGGTTATTCCTTTTTTTTTCATTTTATTTTAGATTTTCCCGACATAATGTACTTCATCTATGGCGTTATGTAATTACCGATTTGAAGAATTTAGGTGCCAAACTTTTTTATGGAAAATTTGCATTTGGCAGTATCGAACACATAAGTAAGTGTCTAACATCATATGAACTTCTTCTTTTACAATTTCTTAAAATTTAAAAATGTATTCGTTCGCAATTTTCTTTGAGACAATTTGCCTTAAAGGTACCAAAGGATGAAAGTCCCTGTATAGTCATTTATTTTAACTTATCAATTTATTTTAAGGTATAAGCATATATAGAAAGTATAGAGATGCACAAAATATCATCGTTTAGTGTTTTATTTAACAAATACATCAGAAATATGAAAATGCGAGCTTTCAACCACACATTGTGGCCATCAGCAGGTATAATAACATGTGTAAACATTTATCATTTCAGATCATATTTTTCGCTTCTTTTCTTCATATCTTTCCATTTTTTTCTATTAGTCATAGTGTGAAAAAATATTTTTCCACACAAATGATCTTAAGAACTTGTCACATTTGTCGAAAAAATCATACATTTCAAAGCAAAGTAAATAGTGTAGTGAATAGAATTTCAGTTATCCAAATAATTCTAAAGCATATCTTGTATCATTATATGCTTTTCAATAACTTTTATGCGTGACTAAACTTTCTTTTACCACCTTCTTCTCCACTATGTCTCTAAAGTCACCGTTTCCACATTATCAATATCAACAGTGTGAGTGTGAGTGTTCTAGAGAATGTTGAGCTAACTGAGAATTCGATTTTCCAATTTGAATAGCATATTTATGTTCACTCATGCTTGTTATATACGTTATATACAAATGTTCCGCTGAATGAAGCCATAGACATTGCTTTAGATACTATGTATAAGCCACAAAAAACGTTACTGATGCCCCCATTGGATAGAACTCAAATTAAAAGACTTTTACAATTGGCTCTTTGTGGAATGCCATTTAGATTTATGAATAAGACTTTTGTTCAGATTGATAGGGTTGCAATGAGATCATCTTTGGCACCCATATTAGCCAATTTATTTATGAAAAAATTAGACAAGAAAGTAAATCGATTTTCAACTAATAAGCCGATGCTCTGGCTCAGATATATGGATCACATCATATGTGTATTTAA